AAGATGGAAAATATGAAACAAAAGATTGGGTAGAAAGTAAAAGTCAAGTATTGACAAGAGGGAAGGCCTGCCAAAAGAGCCAAGTCTTTAATTGGCTCTTAAAAACACCCAGCGAGGGTGCCAGGCAGATCTGTGATGGCAGGCTATTCCAAAGACGAGGGGCCACTGCTGAGAAGGCCCTGTTTCTTGTTCTTTCTTTCTGGGCCTCTCTCAGTGTTAGGCCCCTCAGACGTCTTTCCTGGCTATAGTGAGTGACTCGAGTGGATCTAGGTGGGAGAAGGCATTCTGCTAGGTATCGAGGTCCTAAACCGTTTAGGGCTTTATATGTTATCATTAACACTTTCAAATCAATGCAGAAATGAATGGGCAGCCAATGCAAGGCAGCCAGAGTGGGAGAGATATGCTGGTGTTTTCTCGTTCCACTAAGTAGTCTGGCTGCCGCATTCTGCACCATCTGAAGCTTCCGCATCAGTCTGAAAGTTAGCCCCACGTAGAGCGCATTACAGTGATCTAAACTCGAGATTACAAGCACATGGACCAGGGTGGTGAGGGCCCCGCCATCAAGATAGGGACGCAACTGGGTAATCCACCACAAATGGCAATAGGCAGAACGGACCACTGATGCCACCTGGGTTTCCATGGTAAACACTGGGTCTAGATGTATTCCCAAGCTGCGAACCTCACTCTTCGTGGTGAGAGTCACCCCTCCAAAAGAGAGGGAGTTTACCAAGCCGCCGATGGAGAGGCCACCGACCCTCAGGACCTCCGTCTTGTCCGGGTTCAGCCTCAACCCATTCTCCTGCATCCATTGCAGTACAGCCTCCAGAGAGCGCTGAAGGGACAGAACGGCATCCGCTGAAGTAGGTGAAAAGGAGATTTAGAGCTGCGTGTGATCACACAATGCCCCACACCCCCTGATGACCCCACCCAGTGGCCTCATATAGATATTAAACAGCATTGGGGAGATGATCGAGCCCTGGGGGACCCCACAATTGAGGCTCCATGGGGCCAAAACCCTCTCCCCAAGGTGAACTCTCTGAAGGCGGTCCTCCAAGAAGGATCAGAGTCAGGCAAGCGCCAGGCCACCGATTCCCAACTTGGAGTGCCTCCCCAGGAGGATACTGTGGTCAACAGTATCAAAGGCAGCTGAGATATCGCAGAGAACCAACAAGGACATTTTTCCAGTCAGCCTCCCTCAATATGTCATCCAACAGTGCGGCCAGTGCCGTTTCTGTGCCATGGTGTGGCCTGAAGCCTGACTGAAACGGATCCAGGGCATTGGTTATGACTTAGTATCCTAAGCAGCCACTATCAACTTGAATTAACCAGTACCAGTCCTTTCAATCATTCAGTCATATGCTCATTCTTATTAACAGAGCATTAAAACATTTGAGATGCCTGAGTCTTGTCAGCTAAGAGGGAAGATTGGCAGGGTTTGGCAGTAGTGGGGATAGGAACTCCCAGAAATCTTGCCTCAAAGTATTGTTCAAGAAAGGAGTTGTCCAAATTAAATTAACTTTACAGATTATTTAAAGCATTTATTTTGTGTTAGTCCTTACTGAGGAGGGAAAAAAGCATTTATTTTGTTTTAGCCCTATTGAGGAGCAAAAATGTATTTTGGATTGAGAATTTTAACTGGCATGTAAATATTTTGAACCAATATTCACTTCATTTTGCAATTGCATACTCTAGCTCCAGTTAATATTCTGGACATGCCTCTTAGAAATTAAATGGAGAATGGCTATTTCCCCTCATCTTTCCACTTTGAAAATCATCTGCTAGAAAATGTTAGCGTGATTACCTATCTATAAAATTGCCACGCAGTAGTGAACTTATCAAGGTATAACAACACAGATGAAGTTAAGGCATGAAATATGAAATATCATGCTTTAGAGAGAAACCAACATGTATCCCTTTGAATTATTTTCTCAAAAGAAAAGTTGTGCTGAGAGGTGAAGAAACAAACCCTGTTTATCTGGCAAGATATGTTGAGATAGAGTTTCAGAAAACCCAGCAGTTCAAAACTGTTTTTTACCTTTGGCGTGGGGACTAGTTCATTCAAGTAATATGCACAGTTTCCATGGAATATGCAGTTAGATACTGTTTATTTCCTCTGTAGCTGTTATCTTATTTATTTATTTATTTATTTATTTGATTTTTACCCCACCCCTCTGACTGTTTATTTCCTCTGTAGCTGTTATCGTTTATATTCTGCAAAGAACTATAGATAAACATTTAGCAAACTGCTTTTTTAACCCATCATATGAACTGGCTGGAATTCCATGATGGAAAATGTAACCTCCTTCCTTGGTGCTTTTAAATCAAGATACTCCACTATCTCATCTTTTCTTTCCAATGGAAGAGAAGTAGGTCCATAAACATAGAACAACAGAATAGTTATTAAATGGAGAATTAATTAGCTATTTATAGGAAACAGTGTGTGAGCAAAATAACTATTTATGAAGAGCTTTCAAATTTCCAGTAGTGTGAATCTTCCTGCACTGTGAATAGAACACAACTCTTCAGCAAGCTGAACCCACCCTAAGATAGTTGCCCTTTCAGTTGAAATCAATATGGAAGGTTAGTTGCTGGATCATAGTAAATGCCTATCTAGTCCATAATAGCCAACCATACACTGCGGTGGTTAAGCAAGAATATAGGGGAATGTATATATTAACACCTACCCAGCGCTTGGTCTCTACCAACTAACATTCAAAGGCCTACCAGTGAAGTTGGTTCTAACTCTTTCTGTTGAATGCAAAACCAATGTCAAATTCCTCTTCATTGCTGTTGGATGAGCACAAGAGAAAGACTGAGGTAATATTAGGTACCCTTTATTTCAGTCCAGTGTTTCCTATTTAGAAAAGAATTGCTGGCTCAGAAGCTAACATTATGGCTCATTATGTTTGGTTACGATGAGATTATCCACATGATATTTGGAAACAAAATAAGGGATGACAGATGTCTTTCTTGACTTTCTGTTGCTACTCCCTTTATTATCAGGGAAAGAAAGTCCTGCAGGAAGTGACATCCCAGATGATGCTGATGAGCCCATGCCTGTGCCAGAAGATCTTTCAGCCAGCACAGGAGGACAGCAGAATTCCAGAAATGAGAGAATATTAGGTAAGAGTGTTTACATGGGTAGTCAACTGCCATGTACTCCTGATATGCTTAAAAGATACCCGACAGCCTGACATCTTGGCCTCAGTTCTTATGAAGGATTTCTTGTTTTGATGCTTTTGGGTGCTAATGATTACAAAGCATATTGCTTTGTAATCATTATAAGGTTCAGTGTGTGAGATTCCATGGAAGCTTTCCTCCTTCTCATTCTGCACTAACATGGTTTCATGATGTAGAGATAAATGTGTGAATCTACATATGGGGAATGCCTGGGAGACACTGGTGCTTTCAGACAAGGCTTTTATTTTTAAACGTCCTGCCTCATTCTTGATTTTTATGAGGAGTTCAGGCTGTGTCATCTTGCTTTCCATACTGTATTTTCCTACCACTTCTGTTTTCAAGTTGCTAAAACAAAAAACAGGTTAAGGAAGGAAGAGGAAATGGGGACATGATTCCTTTTGATCAGTAGCAGTAGGAAACTTCGAACTGGAAAGACTCAGTATGTAACATGTTTTCCTCCTTTCCTTTAGATTTCCTAAATTTAGGAAATTCTTAATCTTTAATAGGACAACACTGCTTGAAAGCTTGAATAGTAATTGTATGGAATAAGCTAACCACAAGGTCCATTATTCAAATGTTGGTTGTCCATAGTTCCCAATCATTAAAGCTCTGGTTTTCATCTGATGGTATGAAACTCACAGTTAGTCATGTTGTAATTCAGGGTGGGTTGTTTGTTTTTCTATTGTGTTCACTTTGTATAAAACCACACACACACACACACACACACCAGGGTGGGTTGTTTTTCTATTGTGTTCACCCTGTATAAAACCACACACACACGCACACCACAGAGAGAGAGAGAGAGAGGAGTAAGACAGACATTTAAATTATAGCTTATGTTAGACATTGGTGTTAAAGGTGGTTCCGAGGCCTGTGCATATGGGAGACTACTGATGTAAATCCATACTGTAGGTTGATGTCTGTACCATGTAATTTGCAAATATGTTCTTCGGAGTAAGGAGAGCTTCTCTATAAATACAAGAGTGCTTAAGAAGAGGTTTGTGAGGATTCTCCAGCAACTTTTGTCAGAAATAAGGACAGAATTAGATTCAGGAAAAGTTTAGAGGAGGGCAACAAGCATGGTCAGGGGGCTGGAAACCAAGCCGTATAAGGAAAAACTGAAAGAACTGGGCATGTTTAGCCTTGAGAAAAGAAGACAGAAGGGTGATATGATAACACTTCTCGAATACTTGCAAGGCTATCATACAGATGAGGGGCAGGATCTGTTCATGGTCATCCCAGAGTGCAGGACATGCAACAGTGGGCTCAAGTTACAGGAAGCCAGACTTTGATTGAATATCAGCAAACACGTCCTAACAGTTAAGTAGTAAGGCAATGGAATCAATTGCCTTGAGAGGTGGTGAGTGCTACAACATTGGAGGCATTCAAGAAAAAAAAATTAGACAACCACTGGCAGAAATCCTTTGATTTGTATTCCTGTATCGAGCAGGGTTTTGGCCATGATGGTCTTATAGGCTCCTTCCAACTTCACTATTCTATGATCCTATGATCATTGATTCTTAAATGGGTGAGGCTGAAGGATGTGCTTTAAATCAGTGAACCTTACAAATGCTTAGGCTTGGTCTGACTTTGTGCACAGGAGCAGTAAGTGATCTCTTAAATGGCTTCTGTAATAATCATCCATACCAGAGACAGTAAATCTCTGTACACTAGTTGTTTGGGGACATGAATGAGAGAGTACTGTTGCCCTTGAGGTTTGCTTGTGAGCTTGCTGGTGAGATGTCTGGTTGGCCACTCAGGGAAACAGAGTAAAGGCTAGCGAGGCCTTTTGTTTGATCCACTATAGCTCTTCATATTTGGTTTTTCTGTTTATTTTCAACATACATTATTCTAGAAAGTCAAAACTGGATATAGATAAAACTGTGGCAATAAAAATGGCATGTGTATGGGTTAAGAGTAGATATGAGTTTAGAGGTTTGTGTGGATTTGTACACCCAGCACCACAGGTATTCTCTTCTCTACCACCTGAGCCAATGACCCATTCACCAGTTGGAGTGTGCTCCTCTCCTCCTCCTCTTCACCTGTTTGACAAGTCCCTGGCAGGAGCATGGCTTTACCTGCTGTGGCAATAAAAATGGCATGTGTATGGGTTAAGAGTAGATATGAGTTTAGAGGTTTGTGTGGATTTGTACACCCAGCACCACAGGTATTCTCTTCTCTACCACCTGAGCCAATGACCCATTCACCAGTTGGAGTGTGCTCCTCTCCTCCTCCTCTTCACCTGTTTGACAAGTCCCTGGCAGGAGCATGGCTTTACCTGTCCTGCCTTCACCTCCTCTTCGCCTGTTTGACCAGTCCCTGGCAGGAGCATGGCTTTACCTGTCCTGCCTTCTTGTGGTCAATCAGCCAAGGAGGCAGAGCAGGGAAGCCTGTGCTCTTGTTGGAGACTGTTCAAACAACTGAAGAGGAGGAGGAGTGGGGGATACAGCCAGGGAGATGGGGGAAGGGAATGTGCGGCACCTCAGGGAGATGGGGGAAGGGAATGTGCAGCACTGTGGTGCCATACATACGAATGGCATGGCCATACCCATCTCTAGTTAAACGTCTAAATCTTGTTTGACAGGCAACTTCTTTGGCCACATTCATGTAGAATTTTGTGAGAACAAGTACCCTTTATTAAGCCAATGGGATTCCTTCCTCTGCATCTAAGTGCTTCATCTACTATATTTCTATGCTCAGCTTTAATTCCTGAGTTTGGCTATTGAGTGGGTCACAGAGAAGGGAATAACGGATGGGGAAAATAAGGACAATGTCTAGCAGGGCAGAGAATACACAGTTTTTCTGTTAAATAATATGCTCCTTTCCCAGGAAAAATAGTGAGTACCCTTCAGATCATTTGGCACACATGTAAGCCATTGCTCATTGTTGCAGTCATCAGGTGATAAACATTCATATGTGAAGAAAAACACTGCTGGAATCTGCTCTCTAGAAATCTAGAAATGTTTGCTTGGGTAAGGCACTCCCATAATGCTCCATCACCACAGAATGCTGGGACAGGGTTTTCTTCTTTACTCTGTGTGTGTGTGTGCTAATTGACTATTGTGGTCTCTTTCCAGTTTATGATTCTGTTTATTCTAAGCTAAATAACAATGCAAATTAGGTAAGTCTCCCATATCATGGTACTGGCAGCACAGTTATGAGAAAACATTCTTACATGGCAGATGGATGAAGCCCTGTCACTATATTATTATCAGCATCGCCATAGTCCCTTCCCCTCCTTTGCTTCTTCCCTCACTGTCTGAGTGCTGCATGGGTTTGTATATAGCAAGGTTCACAAATTCCTTGATCAGTGGGGCATGCTGTTGTTAGATCTCTGATCTGTGTTTGGAATAGAGATTCTCTCAGGTTCTGTGAATAAAGTTGGTGTTACCAACTGTAAGGATTGGGTCTTGAATAGTGTGACGTCACAAACAGAGCCAGAACCATCCTTGGCAGGTAAGGCTGCCCGTATCAGATGGCAGGTGTTGAGTATTGTGCAAAGACGGCCATTTGTTTAGTATTTAGTTTATAGGTAAAGGTAAAGATTCCCCTTGACATTTAGTCCAGTCGTGTCCGACTCTAGGGCATAGTGCTCATCCCCGTTTCCAAGCCATAGAGCCAGAGTTTGTCCAAAGACAGTCTCCATGGTCACGTGGCCAGCGCAACTAGACATGGAACGCTGTTACCTTCCCACCGTGGTGGTACAGTGGGGTCTCTACTTAAGAACTTAATCCGTATTGGAAGGTGGTTCTCAAGTTGAAAAGTTCTTATGTTGAATCTGCATTTCCCATAGGAATGCATTGAAAACCATTTAATCCGTATCTGCTCTTTTCCATCCATAGAAACTACAGTGGAACCTCTACTTAAGAACTTAATCCGTTTTGGAATGGTGTTCTTAAGCTGAAACATTCTTAAGTTGAAGCAAAATTTCCCATAGGAATGGACTGAAAACCAATTAATCCGTTCTGGCTGTTTTTT